ATGGATGGATTTGAAAGAGGATTTTGTTTGTTTACCTTTGGCACAATCCTCACAAATTGTATCTTTTATGAAGTGCAAGTTAGGTAGCCCTTTCACAAGATTCTTCTTAGACAATTTTGATATCAACTCCATATTTGCATGTCCAAGTCTCTTGTGCCAAATCCAAGGGTTTTCATCAATGGCCGCAAGACACTTCACATCTTGATTCAATAACTCATTCATCTCAAAGATATAAACATTAGACTTGCGATATGCAACAAAAACAATTTCTCCATTCATACTAATGATGCATTTATCCGGTTTAAAAGAAATATCGAAACCTTTGTCACTTAGTTGACTAATACTAAGAAGATTATGATTCAAACCACTTACTAAATAGACATCTTCAATAATGGGTGAGGGTTTCTTACCAATAGAACCTATACCAATGATTTTACCTTTCTCACCACCACCGAAGGAGACGTTGCCTCCTTCAATCCTTGATAGGGTTGCAAATAACTCTTTGTTGCCCGTCATATGATGTGAGCAACCACTATCAAGGTACCAAATTTCCTTACGTCGTTGCCGTGACGTCCCCTACAAAAGAAGAAGACGAAGGTGTTGTAGCTTTAGGTACCCATGTCTTGGGTCCTTGGTGGTTAGTAGTTTTGGTGCCTTTGGGTACCCATATTAAACCATAAAAATCTTCATTGTCTTTAACTCTACAATGAGTAGAAATGTGTCCATGTCTCATGCAATAAGTACATACAAAGTTTCTTTTGTATGCACGAGTGTGAGAGCCATAAGACCTATTTCTACCATGGTGATTGGCATAGACATGAGTGGGTCTAGTCCTACAACCTTCAATTTCTAATCTTTCAATTTTTGATCTTAATTGTTTATTTTCGAAATCGAGATCTCCTAGCAATTCATCTTTTAGAGCAAGAGAGGTTGTTAGTTGTTCAAGCTTAATATCACAAGAGACATGCAACTTTTTGAAAGAGGAGTATTCTTTAGACATTCGTTTAAATTCAAAGTTCAACTCCTCTAATGCCATAGCTATATCACATTGCATATAGAAAGATTCACTTTCGGCCTCGGATATTACCTCATGTTCATTTGCCATGAAACAAACATTTGGGTCATGAAGGGCAAGTTTGGCTCCCTCCTCATCGCTATCCGAATCACTTGGTTCGGATTCTTCCCATCCGGCATACATAGCCTTCTTCTTCTTGTACTTCATGTACTTCTCCTTGAGCTTGGGGCAATCCTTAGCGATGTGACCCGGTTCATTGCACTCAAAACATTTTCCTACACGAGATGAAAACTTGTTATTAGATCGGGGATTGAATTTTTTGTTCATTTTTATAAGTCTAGAGATTCTTCTAGAGAGATGAGCCACTTCTCTAGAAAAATCTACTTCACTCTCCGATGACGAAGATGAGTTGTCACTAGCTCCTTTGAGAGCTATAGTCTTCAACTTTGGTGATGGTTCCTCAACTTCACGTGATGGCACTTCCTCCTTCTCCTTCCCTTTGAGCTTCTTTTCATGCACTTTGAGCTTTCCGATAAGACTATCAAGAGCTAATGTAGTGAGGTCATGAGCCTCCTCGATGGCCGTAGCCTTGGGCTCCCATGCCGGAGTTAAGGAACGAAGTATCTTGTAGTTCATCTCTTGAATAGATAGTTGCTTATCTAAACCATGTAATTCATTGATGATATTAGTAAAACGGGAAAACATAGCATCAATGGATTCATTTGGAAGCATTTTGAATAGCTCATAATCATGCATAAGTCCACTAATCTTAGACTCCTTAACTTGGGGTGTTCCCTCATGTGTGACACATAATTTTTCCCAAATTTCGTATGCGGTTGCACACGTGGAGACTCTATTGTATTCATTAGGGGAAAGACCACAAATTAAGGCGTTCATAGCCTTAGCATTGAGATTGGCAAGGTGCCTTTCATCATCGGACATGTTCTCAACTTTGGATTTCTCTACATATTTCTTTTCAATAAGCCCTAGGATGTCAAGGTCAATACAACGAAGATAAATTCTCATCCTAGCCTTCCAATAAGCAAAATTGCTCCCGGTGAAGAGAGGTGGCCTAGTTGTGGATTGTCCTTCTAACATATGCATATTCAAAGAAGCCTCCATAAGATCTTTACTCTAAGGTGATTAAACCAAAAATTAATATAGAGACCAAGCTCTGATACCAATTGTTGGACCCTAGAGGGGGGGTGATTAGGGTCAAAAGGCTCTAATATGCAGATTAAAAACACACAACAATCAATTCACAGTAAATAGATGCAAACAAGGTAAATAAGAGAGGGTTAGGAATCGTTATCCTTGACGCGCGATGTGTTAACGAGGTTCGGCCCTCTGGCCTACGTCCCCGCTCCCCACTCTCGAGGAGAAATCCACTACACAGCCGGTTTGGAAGCCGGAACTTCGTCTACACAGCGATCCCACACGATCTCTCTCACTACACAGTTTGATCTCAACAGATCACTCCCTCACAGTAGATCTTACTCAAGATCTCAACTACACAGCACAAGATAACAGATGTAGAACTCTCTCTTACAAAGCTCCTATGGCAAAGAGAACAAATTTCTGAAGCTGGGAGGTGAGCTCACACAAAACCACAGAGAAGAAAGCAGGACTGATTTGAAAATTTTCTCAGCAGAAACAGAAAATACTCTCTCTGGTTTTCAAACGTTTGGCTCAAGGAAGAAGAAGAAGCAGCTGTAGGGTTTTTATAGAATAGATTAAAACAATTTTAAAAACAAACCCAATCTTCCTGTTTAGGAAGATAATCCCCTTTACAGAGTCTTAGCTCAGACTGAGCCAAGCACAAAAGAGTGAAAGCACGACAATCGAAAATAAAAATGACCGTTTAAAAAATCTCGTGTTGACTGAAGGAAAAAAAAGCGGTCGGCCGAAATAACGTTCGGTCGACCGAAAAATCACGTCGGTCGACCGACCGAAAATTTCGGTCGACCGTGAGCTGCTTCAGAAAAATAAGAAAACCAGCAGAAACACTGTCGGTCGACCGGATCGGTCGACCGATATAAAAATCGAGAATTCGGTCGACCGGCCCGGTCGACCGACGACCTTTCTGGAAACCAGTAAGAAAAGATGATATGTGCGGTCGACCGATCCGGTCGACCGCTTTCTGACATATGCTGGAAAACATGTTTTTGACCAAGTTAAAATATTTGTAAAATATTTATTTGACCTCTGAAAAATCTGAACCTTTGTAAAATGTTTTTGATACTAAAAACAAACTGTTTGAAGAAAGAATTTTGCAGATAGGTTCTCGTATTTGTGAAAAATAAGGTTTTGTGAAAACGGCTTAAAAGTTTAAGAAAGAAAACATGTGTGTAAGTCCCAATAGCTTCATGTAAACATAGTGACTCTTTGCCTACAATCTAGCACTAGAGAGAAACATAAAGGAAAGCTAATATCCTCATATTTAAAGCAATACTTGAGCTTTGATTAGCTTGAATCGGATGAAGCTTTTATTCGAGTTTGTCGTTCTTGAATTAACGTTGCTTCATCTCTTGGCCTCCTCCTCCTTTGGATATTATCTTTGTAGCATATATTCCATCCATCCTCCATTTATGGCACTAACGAGCTTGATAAATAGATTTACTACAATTTCACTCAATAAGCCATTAGTACCAATAATGGTGGTTGTAAGAACATCATCAAAACATAAGGGCTAACAATGTCCCCCTTTTTGATGATGACAACCAACCATTTTAAGAGCAAAAATAAAATAACTTATAGATAGATGCTCCCCCTATCTATGAGCTCCCCCTAAGGATGTGCAACAAAAGAGGAGAGGTTTCTCCCCCTTTGGAAACATCAAAAAAATTGGGGTAAAAAGAAATATAAATGACAACTAAACAAGCACACAATGTAGAACGTTCACATAGTGCATAGGCCCAAACCATTTCTTATGCGAC